ATTACTTTTTTGAAAGCACCTATAGTAAAATCCAAGAGTGACTTTCTTAGAACTTTAGAAAGATATAGAAATACAATGCATGCATAAAAATTAATGGTTTATTAGTATACCAAAATGTCTTCATTATTTTCTTAAACATTAGTGAGCAACATGCAATTAAATACTTTATCTAACATGCACCAACATTAGGTATGTTTAGGGAAAGTGGAAGGATGAAGATAATGTCATTGACTTTTCATTCAGTTTGATAATATCTGATAAGAGGAGCTGTAAGTTCTTAGCACTTACACATTTTGCATTAGATAGGATGTTTGGCACCCCAATTATATAAACTAAGCATTAATAGCTCCATTTGTAGCAGTTTGGTATAGCTACTAAAGTCAAAATTTGACACCATCTATTTTGAACGAAAAACAAAAACTTCAAGTGTTCAGAAAAATTTTCTTTATTCAGTCCAAATTTAGCCTAAGAGCACAGACTTTATTTAATAGTAACTGACATGAGTACTTCAACTACAAATAATTAATCATGATTCTTGTTTAGATATATCTATTTATGGATAAGTTGTTATATATCCTAATGTCAGGTAACTTTAATAATGTGTTTCCCATATTCAAATCTTCCCTTTTTGCTGAGGATAAAAATAGTGACCTGTCTTCCAAAGAATTTCAAAATGAGAACTGGGAAACTTCCACAATGACATTGTGTTTTCCCAGGTGACAGTGTTAGAACTGAGATAAAAGATGTGTATAGAAAAACATGATGATGTCATAGTGAGGAACAAACTTCTCAAGCCTGGCTCTGCTTTGACAAGATGGATGAGATGACTTCCAGATGTTCATTCCAGACTAAGATGTTCCAGGACTGAGGACATTTTCTGACATGTATATACACATAACTTGTTTTCCCCTCCAAATATTGTTCCTTGTCACAAAATATGTAATACCATTAAACCAAGACACCACCTCCCCAATATTATTTTAAAGAATATTGTTTGGTATTTGACTCAATATCAACAGTATTTCAAGTATACCAAAATTATGCTTGGTAGGCCTTGATGAAATTACTTCACTGAAAGGTGATCCCAGGAGCATCTCCCTTGTCCAATCCTTACTGCTTGGCCCTTCATGTATATCAGGTGCATAGCATCAGCTTTCAGACATCTATCCTTTTCTGCAGCAGTTGCAGAGTTTTACAAAGCTTTTCCTGCACCAGTCTTTCTTTCCCTCAATGCTTCATGTCCATCATAGCCATCATTGTGTGATCAAAACAAAAGCTGGGCAGCTGTTGGACAGGTTTTATTTGTCCAACTGCCTTTATTGTACAGATGTTTCTAATACTCTTATTCTATACTAGAATATTGTAATATTAATAAATCTTCTGGTTTGGTCCGTCTGCCCTTTTTTTTTGCTTTTCTTATGTTTGTTGCCAATTCATTCTCTGATTTCTCAACTCTTCAGTCACTTGTCTTTCTAATTCTGTATCAGCAAGGGCAAATGAAAACCTTTGGCTTTATTAAAAGCAGAAGTGAGTATTTAACTTATTTCTAATGAGTAAAATAAATACAATTTGGTTCCTTGTTTATCTTCCAAAATTTGGAAGTTGGCTAATTCCCTTTTAAGCCCTCTATAAATAACATCAAGCTAGATGTTTTTGAAGATTCTAAGAATGAGAATCTTCAAAAACCACCATGGACAATAATTATTTTGCCAATGATTTTTAAATTACATTTACACAGACTTGACTAATTGTAGTTTTCAGTTTTACATATTGAGAAAAGACCAAATGTTTTTGCATATCTGTGTTTGGAATATTTCTGGTAAAAGTTTATCTGCCTACAGTAATCTCATCTATCACCTATCCACAAAAAGAAGAATCTCTTTGTAAATTCTTAGTGAAGTTGTCACCTACACATCAGTATAAGCTGATTTATTCTTCCCTCTTCAAACGCAAAATAATTCTGTGTTTGCACTGCACGTTAATTAGTGCTTATGGAACCATAAAAAATAAAAATCAGATGATTGTTTGAAATATTGAGTGGGGAACGAAAAATTAAGAGAAGGATCCATTTTAAAGGAAAGGTGAGATAAACAATGCAAAGTCAGCACAAACACCAGTTATATGTGAGCTTCTTAAATGTCCCTGGAAGGCAATAGTAAGTATGATGATTTTTCAAAAGTGGGATGAGATAGGAGATTTTTGTGGAGGATTAGGTGAAAGAACCACCAGAGAAAAAAGTACAGGCAAGACTTGAAAGTAGATTAAGCAGATGATTTCTTGCCCATAAGCCTCATGTACTTAGAAATATTAGTTCTAGTACTGGGACTTTCTTCCTGCTGTAAGGGCTAAAGTTAAAAAAAAAGAGCAGCTTCATTCACATACATGACCTTTAACATAAAGTACAGGACTTGATTCACCTGATAAAACCTTTAAACTCTAAATGTGAAATTAATCCAAATTTGTGAAGTAATAGCTTACAACTGCAAGTGGAAAAATATGAAAACAGTTAAAATAAAAAAAAAAAAAACAACACTGAAACCAGCTCAGAATAAATATGAAAAGAAAACAGTTAAAATAAAAAAAAAAACAACACTGAAACCAGCTCAAAATCCCCAAAGAACTGTGAGACATGATTGCAAATTAATGGTAAGAAACCTGCAGCAGGATTAATGCAATGATCGGAGAGGCACTAGCAGCAGCAGTCGCCTGTTCTTGCTCTTTTCTTTGCCAGAGCCACTTCCAATTTTACTCTGATTGCTTTTTTCCAACTAGCTTGGTTCCAAAAACTCCCTTGCTGACCTGTCCTATTCATTCCAGCTCGTGGTTCACACCCTGTTGGTCCTGCACTCACCTGGCACTAAAGAAAGGAGGAGTTGTGGGAGACAAGGCACACTGAGGTAACACCCACACAGCAGCACATGTTATTCCTACCCCTAGGATGCTTTTTCTTGCTCCTTACTCCTCCCACTTGGAGAAAAAGTCAATCATCAACCTAGCTGATAAAAACTTTGCTGATTACAGCAGATCCCAGATTTAAAGTACAGCATCTTTCTTACAAACAGACAATGTAAAGCTATGGAATTAGGAATAATCATGCTATCTTGGAACAGGGGACAGTATGGCTGAATTCTGGAATAGCAGCAAAGTTTTCTGAAATGGCTATGTTCAATGACCACTGTTGAGAAAGGACCAGTGAAGGGTAATGAATGAAAACAGACCAAAACTGTTCACATTTAGCATGGCAGAAATGAATCTGGGGAAAGGGCACTGACAAAAGAGATGTCAAAATCTGAATCTGAGTCACTGCCTATGAATGTACCATTTAATAATGAAACTTTGATGAAGTGATGTGCCTGTTATGAAATATTGTGAAGGTACATCAACGTTATATGATACTCAGTAAGGAACACTGTTTATCCACTAAGTGAAAACAGAAATGCAAATCATTCATGAGGGAAGCTGCTTCCATTCCATGCATCTGCAAAATGTGTGTGAAATGTTATCACCCTATAGTTAACCCCATGATGAAGTAGCATGCCAGTTTTTGCCAGTTCTTTCAGCTGTGGCAGCACACAATGAAAGTAAGTGTGCTGTATGTAAAGAGTACTGAAACCCAGCACAGAATTTATTACTCCTGTGACGAGGGAATGCAGCTTGGAATCTGTACTGAAACCTCATAAAAAGCAAGTCTGAGCTTTAAAGTTTACATATATTACTCATAAAATAGCAATTATCTTCTGCAGAGGCTTTCATGCAAAAATATTACACCCAACACTCAATGGAAATGACTTTGGCTTTTCTTTCTGATGTGCCAAGGAACAAAGTGAAATTGTGGTAGTAATGCTGGTAGCAATATTTCTGCAGGTTCAGGAACAAATTGTTTTTGGGTCAGTGCCAGGAATGATCGGGAGCAGGCTGTCCCGCAGAGCTCGCTCGCTGGGGCTGCAGCCCGGGGCAGCGCTCAGCCTTCACCTCCTACCTTTCAGCTGCTCCTGATCCGTCACGTCGCACTGGATGAACAGCGTCCTCTGCGCTTCGAACTGCTCGTCCAGGGCCGCCTTGCTCTGCTCTCCGGCCTCGGAGTTGCGGTCCAGCAGGGCTACCTAAGCGGGGCGGGAGGAAAATGAGTGGCTGGCGGGAGGGCGGACGGACAGACGGACAGGTCGCCTGCTGAGCCGAGCCGAGCTCCGGGGGCTGCTACCACCCCCGGCCCGCGGGTGCCGGCTGCAGGCAGAGGGGAGGGAGAGGGAGGACGCGCTTCCCGGGACCTACCTTGGCGCCCTTGCCCAGCAGCGCCTGGACGAAAGCCCGGCCGATGCCCTGCGCCCCGCCGGTGACCAGAGCCACCTTGCCATTGACGTGCATGGCCGCCGCGCCGCTGCCGCCCGCTCCGCGCCCGCCGAGCCGGAGCAACCCCGCGCGGTGTCACCTGCCCGCTTTCCTTTCTCCCTCCTTCGTGCCCTCCCTCGTGCCCTCCCTCCTGCCCTCCTCCTCCTGCCGCCGCCGCTGCAGCGGCTCATTCCCCCCCACTCCCCACTCGTGTGACAGAGAGCCTCCCGGAGCTGCCTGGGCGGGGGGAAGCAGGGGCGGAGCGGGTCATTAAATCGTCCTCCTGAGTGTCTGGATGAACGCTGGAGAGCAAGAGCCGGAGAGAAGACCAGCTTCATCCCCTCTTCCCAGCCCAAGGCTTTCCGGGGAGGACAGGCTCGCGGTGTCCCCCGGAGAAAGGGTCCCAGGGCAGCTACAGCTCCGCTCGGTGGAGAGGGGGATTTGTGTGTGCGTGCGTGTAAATCGCGTGAGAAGCTGCTACAAGCTTTGATAAGGACTGTTGGCAGCTCCTGAGGCTATGCGAGTTTTGGTTGGCCCAAGTCGCATGAGGAATAGGGTGAGGACAGCCTCAAAAAAAAAAAAGGCCAGTTTTTCTCACTTCAGAACAACCCACCAGCCTTCTCCCTTTCTTTCCCCTAGTAGGCAGAATCTATTTGCATGAAAAAACAACCATTTAATGTTACAGATATTAGACATATCAAAATAAGTGTTTTTGAGAAATTTTCAGGTGCGTGGTTAATGCAGCTTACACCTTAGAATGTGTTTAACTCTTTTATAGCTTATAAGCCAAATTCTGTCTGCTACATTAGTGTGAACTGTATGCAACTCCAATTCCTCACTATAAATGCGTATGAGCATACAATAGAAATAAGAGCACCCTGAAATAAAAGCTGAAATAAATGCTCTTGTTCATTAGCTTGTTACGAGATTCACAGATGTTATCCCATAGAAAATGCAATGTTGTGGAGTGTTGGGTAGGCAGGAAAAATCCTTTGTTTTAGTCCTGAGCTCTATAAACATGTACATCATGCAAGTGTGTGTGTATATTAACACACACACTTGTCTTTTATGTTCTTTGTTTTCTTTTGCCTGGTGTATCAGGTTTAAATGTTTTACTTGTGCTTTCAAGGCCCTAAAGTACTCTGACTCAGACTGCATGTCTGTCATTAATGTCTTGTAATTTCTCCTCGTTTCTCAGTAGTGTTCCTATTTTGCCCTCTCTCTTATCCCTCTTCTGTTTTCTAGTAGTCTGCCTTTATCTATGGAATTCCCTTCTTTTCTATTACCTAGAAGAAAGAAATTACATCGCTTCTAGCACCCAGCAAGCTGTTACAGATCCATTAAGGTAACTATGTCACCTAATTGAATAATTCCAATAACACAAGATCTCGTTATTATAACCTTTGTCCTTAAAAATGTGAACTAATATTATCCAGCTGCTAAAATGGATCACAGCCATTAAGTTTTCCTAATGATCATGACTTACCGTGCTTCAGAAGAGCAGTCAAAGGTGGCCTCTGGGATAAGTGATTTGTTAGCATATGATACTTGTGTTTCTGGGAGGACTCCAATTTGCTTTGGAGCTGTGAAAATTGTGCCACCCAAAGTGCCATGCCTAATGAGCTCTGTTCCAACCAGCTGAGCCAGCTTCCCTAATTTGTTGGGACATAAGTAAAGTGCCAGGCTGAAGTCACATCATGAGAGCAGTATTACCACATAGGGATCTAATAATAGCATTGCAATGGAGTCTTTCACCTGCAATTTAACCCTGATACCCACCTGCCTCTCCTTCCCCTTCTTTCCCTCTCCTATGGCAATGATCAACATCTGTCATGGTCTTTATTTCCACAATGTAATTTTTTTTAAAGAGCTATGCAAAGGAGAAGATCAATAAACCCCTCTGTATTTCAAACAGCTGTAGTTGGAATGACTTTTGGCAACAGTTTTCTAAATTGTTGATAATTTGGCATGAATGCTAAGAACAATCTGGACTCTTTAGAAATGCTGGAATGCTTTAAAATCTGAGTGCACACGCTGTTTCCATAAAAAAAAAACAAAAAAAACCCAAAAAACCACTTATAATTCTGTGTCCAGAGGTCAGCTTGGTTGAATAGAATCTTGGGTATCATAGGTTGAAATTGTTTAGAAGTATTCTGGTAAAACTAAGCCAGAGTTTCTAACTGGTTTTATTGGCTAAGCAGACTCTTGCCATTATTCCATTGAAGAATATATGTGACACATCTTCCAAGATGGTAAAAAAGGATCCACACCGATACCCATAACCTTGGAGAAATATATTTGACATAAGAGATGGTGTTCCTAACTAGAACAGAATGTGCCAGTCCTCTGCAGGATGGAAGTAATTGAAGGATGGCTCTATGATTTACCCCTGGAGCCAGCAGATATTGCCTGGATTTAAGGGGTAGGTGTGCTTTGCTCTTTCACTGCACTGAATTTGTTGCCCACTCACTACAGGTACTCTTAAGAAATTTGCTGCCACATGGCCCTTTTACCATCGCAAGTTTTTAATTTGACCAATTGCATAACAGATAAAATATTGCCCATAGGAAGAATCCTCTTGTAGACATTTGTTAGAATTCCTGAGTTAGCATCTCAGTCTTCTCTGTGAAACTTGGGGGGTAAGAAGTAGTTATGAAGTATTTTTCTCTCCTATTCATAAATGGACAGTTTTTGAACCTTTCCTTCAGTTTTAACGTAAACTTTCATAGAAGCATGAAAGGACTTACATTGTCAATTTTTCAATGGTTCACCTTTTCAAATAACCCAATTTTAAGAAAAGTACCCAACTTCATACAAAATGTGGAAAGAGCTGTCACATCAGGCAGTAGCATACCATTAATCTGTTGATCTGTTTTCATAAGTGGCCCATTTACAGAAGACTGGATATATGCCTTGGGTACCTTATTCTGTGTATACTGGTATGCTTATTTAAGCTGATACGCTGATTTAAGAAAATGTGAGACAGTTAATAATGGTGCATTATTCAATGGTCAAGAGTCAAACCAAATCTTATCATTCTTGTGATTTTTTTCACCAAAGTGAAATTTGCACTAACACATGCCCTAAGTAATTTTTGTGTAATACATTAGCTAGACTCAAAAGTATCACAAAAAATCTGTTATCTAAAATCACAGGCATGAAAAGATACTAAATGAGTACACAAATATTTGATTTTGGTGCTTTGAGAGAAAGGTAATTCCATGCAATTTCTGTTCAAAGTTAAGAAATAATAATACTACTAAATAATGTCTTAGATGCTGAAATTACTGAGGTCAAATCTTTCACTGAAACTCCTGCACAAGGGTGCAATGTTGAATGTTTATTAACCTTTACATATTGTTTGTGTACAGAATGTCATTTCATTTATTGCTTTCTAGTAAACTTCTTGGCTAGAAATAAGTCTTTTTTCCCTTTCCTTTTATGTCTGTGGTTCCTCTTCCATTTCTCTCCATTTATTAAGTCCGTGGCTTATACTGTGCTGCTCCTCACAGACCACAGTGGAATCCAAGTGAAGGAGCTCCAGGCTGTCTAAATATATTTTTGTAGAGGAGACAGAAATATGACCTCTCAGACATATGTCACCCTGTTCTTCATTTTTTTGTTACCATGTTCTCATTCTCTGCAAGGCGTTATTCAAGTTCCTATACAGACCAAGTGGTATCACTCTGGGAATGAATTATCAGGCAATGCATGTAGCAGGGCATACAAACACAGCTAATCAGCATGTGTGTTTGGTATGTAGCTCAGCGCATTTCCCCAGCTTTTACTAAGAAGAACAGGTGGAATACAAAACTAGAGAAATGCCACAAATATCCAGCTTTGCATTGGGTAATTAAGAGACAACTTTCAGGTCACATACTTAATGTGGTGTATGTTTTTTTCATTAACAAGAAACTTACAGCAAGTATGAAGGAGTTTTCCATGTCCAAGAGGCTTATTCAAAATGTATTTTTTGTATTTTCTCCATGCACGTATTATGTTGAAAGGCATAAATTACTGCATAAAAGGAGCTTATGCAGCTATGCTGCATTTTGGATATTACACCTAGCTGTGTATACAAAAGATTTCAAGACATAGACTGACTGCCAGAAATATCTAACTAACTAACTCAGAGGGCAAGAAAATGAATGAATAACAGGCTTAGAGGTTTGCCAAAATGCATTTTTAGGGGACGACATCATATCAGCTCATGGTAGTGAGTGGCTAGATTATTTTGTTCACTCAGAACAACAGCAGAACATGCACAAAAATGTAATGTACTTGGGCCAAATCAGAGAAAACCAGGTACATCAAAGTAGAGTACAAGAAAATAGTTGTCAAAAATATATTTTTCACAGTGCTTGTACTATATGTTGAACATGTCATGACTTTCATGGTGAGATTTGGAGTGAGACACTAAAACAAATAGTTCTGTTTGCCTTTTCAAAAATAGCAGGCAGGATAGGGAAAGCAATAATGTGGGCTTTTTGAAAATACAAGCAATTGAAGTTAGTAGTATTGTCATAATAGAAGTGACAGTTGATGAAAATAAAAGGTCTTTGTTAGCTTAAAGAGGACCATACAGTGAAGGCTAGATCACTTTGCTTTATAAACTAGAAAAGGGAAGTCACTGGAGATGATAAAAAAGATACAGAGAAACTTGCACAGTGCAATTTCCTGATTCTTGAGAATGTCTAAAAAATTTTTGTGGAATTATGTGTCAGAACATGTGCGAGGATGTGATAATAAATGAGACACAGAGAGATGGTGACTGGTTTTTAGATTGCCTCTAATTGACTTTAGAGAAGGAAGGTTAAAAGAGATTCCTGTCATTTTTGAAACATCTACTACTACTGAGAGAAAAATTTTGAAGTTAAGAAAATAATGTAGTACCAAATATCTAGAGAAGAGGTTAAGAAAATAGCTGTCTAGGAAACTAAGGACAACAGATTTGGAAATCCTCTCCTGAGCAGCTATTCAGAGAGGATTTCTAGCTCTCCAGCATGCCTTTCCTTGATCAAATTACCTCTGCCATGCTCAACATTAATTCAGTCTGTATCTCAGGCATCACAGTGATAAATATTTCAATCCATTGTCCTGCATATAGGCCATATAAATGAGGAACACTTAGCTACTCATGTTTCCCCTTAGATACTTAATTCTGTTTAAAAAATAAAAAAGCTTAAAGCAATTAAGGTAACACAAGGTTCAATGAGGATAGAAGCATTATTAATAAAAATCACTTTTAAAAAGTTACTAGATAAGGAAATTTGGGGTTAATCCCATTCTTGAAAAGCAATAACATATTTTAAAAAATATAGTCTGCTGGAAGAATGAGAACATGAGCATGAGGCCTTGCTAGGAAGGCAGTTCTGCAAGGTGTTAAAACTTTTCAAGGCTTGAGACAAGCGCTAAATGAATAAGGAAAGATTCAGTGTTAAAGCATGCCCTGCCCTTTCTCTATCTGATATAATTATAGGAGAACCTTTAAAACCCTGTATTTGGCACTGTCTTTAAACACCACAGCGGTACGGCAGCTGGCAGCAAAACCAAAACAGAAATATGTGAACCCCTCCCATGCCTCTTGCAAGTCTGGCAACACACTATATGCAGGAGTGACTGTCTTCCCTATTAATTTGGTTATCAACCCATCAAGCACAGCAAATATCTATATGTTTGCAAAGAAAATATTGTAGGCTTATAATCAAATTGTAAAGGGCTTCCTAAAAAGCTGGGGTGAGCAATTAAAGTCACACTAGCCACCAAGTACAGTAACTTGAGTTTCTTAGGACTGTGTAATTGTAGTGCAAGTGACTTATTGTCTATTTCTTTAAAGGATTATAACCACAGAGTTAAATGGATTTTGATATTTGTTTAAATCATGGAGTCTTATTAATTAGCTTATTTACTAGATACTACTAATGTGCTTTCTTTGAGTACTATCCAGTTGAGAAGAAATATTGTTTTGATTATGTTTTAACATTTAAAAGAAAGAACCAAAAAAGACCAAAAAGAAACCCAAAAAAAAAAAAAAAAAAAAAGAGAGAGAGAAGCCCCATAAAACCTTTATATTAGCAGGCAACCATGAAAAGAATCAATCTTCTTATTCTGCTCTCCAGTTTTATGTATGGTCTGATGGTGATAGATGGTCTGATTATCTTTCAAGCTAGTGTTTTGGCTCCCTCCATTTTTTTATACATATAGTCAGTGTCCAGGTGCATCACTTTGTGGTAGTCCTGTTTTAAGAAAAAGCTATCATATACTCTCATTTTATTTTTAGATGGGGAGGATTATTTTTTGCTGCAGAGTGATTATAATATGTGTGTTCTAGGGAACATTTACTACTACTGAAAGAAAAGGTTTGGAGTAAAAAAAATAATGTGCAAAAACTTGGAAGTGATACATAAAACTTGTAGTATGCTGTAGATTAACAACTGGGCAGAATAATGAGGTAATCAATCCAGAAATAACAAGAAAAAGTGAACCAAAAGTGAATGAAAAGGTATGAAAAATGCAGTAAAAAACTGATTAATTATGTAGTTTCTAGAAATTATCACATTAAATGAAATTAAGAAATGAGTCAAAAATCTCAAATGTTAGCACCATGACACTTTTTCTTATAGGAAGTTTATTTTTTTTTTTATTAAAGAATGCCATATACAAAAGGAAGTTGTTATTGGATTAATTCCATCCTGAAGTAAACCAGGCAGAAGCCGGCAGCAAAGATAGTTTAACCTTATTTCATTTTATATGTGCACATAGAAAAATATTTTGAAGATTGTCCCATATGTCTTTGAACTGGAGAAAATAAAAAAAAAATTACAGGAAATGTTTAATTGTTCTCATGCATGTATCTATCTATCACATCTATCTCTCTATCTATCTATCTATCTATCTATCGATCATCTATTTCTACTGTATTAATCTAGAGCTAATGATCATTGTTCAATAATCTCCAAGTAAGTGAAGCAATGCCAAGCTATGAGGCACCTGGTCCCAGCTGGTTGACTCAGATAACTCAGCTGAGGCCTTCTATACATAAGTTTTTGTTACATTTAATTGAGGAGAATGAGGTGTGTGTTCTGAATGGGAAACTTTTCTGCTGAGCCTCTTAGAGCTTCTGAGTACGAATGTTAAAGATCACATAGGGCTTATGAATAAGCCTTGTACTTTGGATATCTGTTCATTTGGCTCCTCAACATCAGTGTGTAACTAAAAAGTAATATCTGACTATTTAAAAGATATACTAGTGGCATCAGAACCACTACAGCATGCACAATGTGGTTAGACTGTGAAACCCGTTGCCATAGGGTGTCATATCATTTTAAGCAAGTTCAAAAAATTATCAGTTAAATTTACAGAATCACATAATAAGCTGAGTTGGTAGGGACCCACAAGGATCATCGAATCCAACTCACAGCCCTGCTCAGCACTATTTCCAAGAGTCACACCGTGTGCCCAAGAATATTGTCCAAACACTTCTTGAACTCTGTCAGGCTTGGTGGTCTGTCCACTGCCCTCAGGAGCCTTCCAGTTCCAGTGCCCAATCACCCTCTGGGTGAAGAATCTTTTTCTAAAATCCAACCCAACCCTCTCCTGGCACAGCTTTGAGCCATTCCCTTGGGTCCTGCCACTGGTCACCAAAAGGAGAGATCAGTGCCTGCCCCTCCTCTGCCCCTCACAAGGAAATTGCATTGATGTCTCTCCTCAATCTCTTTTTCTCAGGCTGCATTATCTTTTGGGTGTTTTTCATTACCTCCCAGAATAATCCTCTCCGTAACTTTACCAGGCACTGAAGTGAGACTGACAGGCCTGGTTCTGGGGTCTTCCTTCTAGACCTTAAAAACTGAGGCACACTCTCTGGATTTCCAAGAATGCTCAAAATCATTGAGATAGATTTTGCAATGACATCAGCAATTGAATTTTCTTGGCTGAATCCCTTCAGACCCAATAGATCTGTAGGGATCCAGCTGGAGCAGCAGATCCCGGAGAGTTTCAGGGTTGATTGGGAGTTGATAATCCTTGCAGTCATGGTCCTCCAGTGTGGGGGTCAGGGATGAGAAAGCCATCTCAGGAATGCCCTGGGAAAGCACCATTGTCTAAGTCAGGAGAAATTAATTCCTTTCCCTTGATTGGAATGCTGTACTCCCTTTCACGTCCAGATCATCCTGTACCCTTTGTATCTTTCATTAGTTACTGCTGTGAAAACTTTTCCCCTCCCATCCCTCTCCATGTAGCTGTGCACAAGAACTGTAACTTTCCCCAAAGACGGGGCACTCGCCCTGGGGTCCTTCTGCTGGTTGTTACCCGTCCCTGCTGTCCCTCCGACTCTCTGTCCGTCCCTCAGCCTACCCTCCGTGTTTTCCTATCCCTTTTGGACCCTGCAATAAATCAGTTGAAATTGTCCAGGACTCGAGTTGCCCTCCTATCTGGTGAAGAGAAACATCTAGCCGGGGTCTAGTGGGTGAAAATCCTGACCCCTTCACTCCAGATCAGATCCCCTTGTTCCATGATCCATGTTGAAGGTAGAGGGAAAGAATGTATTAAACACCTGTGCCTTGTCTGTGTCCAGGTTTGTGAGGTGACCATCCTGTCCCTGTAATGGGCTGATGTTATTCTACACTGCCTATTGTCTTTAACAGATTTGGAAAAACTTTTTATTGTCCCCCACGTTTCTGGCCAGCTTCAAATATGCTTGAGCTTTGGCCACATGAATTTTCTCCCTGGAAAATGGAAAGCAGCACCTCTCTGTTCTTCCTGTGTCACCTGACCTTGCTTCCACTGTGCATATGCCTTCATTTTTTCCTTATTTACAGAGAAGATTCCTGTTCCTGTTCAGCCAACTGGGTCTTCTGCCTAGACCTCCAACATTTGGGAATTGCATGCTTCCATGCCCTTAGACACAAAACCTACCATCACTGAAGGTGAGATCGCAAAATGTGGAAGATTACAACATATATATATATATATATATATATATATATATATATGTGTGTGTGTGTGTGTGTGTTCTCATATGTTCTGATGACTGTCAAAGACAGGATTTTAGAATATGTGGATTCAGAATGCATAAAATCCTAGTTTAGGCATTGTGACAGTACTATAATGTTTATAAAGTTAACTAAATCTATTCCACAAATTTTTTTTTTCAGAACGCTTTTTACAGATATAACATTATTTTTGAAAAATGCTTGATTAAAAAAAAAATATCTAATTTAGGTATATTTCATTCTGTCCTCTCTATATCAATATGCACTCAATAATCAATGTATATTTGAGTGTGTTTATACAAATATACATAGGTGGCATATCTTTCTATATCTAGGAAAGAGGCTGGTTCTCCATTTCATTTATTTCTATTTGAATAATAAATTAGGCCATTATGAAATACCCAAACTGGTACAAGCTGGCAGAAGAGCAACAGTATTTATAGGGTGAGTTTATGTTTTCTTTTCTGGCTTAGGTGACATTTTGTGGGACTGAGAGAGATCAGTGTCAAGAAAAGCATATGTATGCTCATCTCAAAGAGCATTTTGATGAACTAATCTGATTCCATACCTTTAAAAATTGTTCTTGTTTAAATGAGAAAAAAAGAAATTTAGTGTGTGATATTTTTACACTTATACAGTAAGAGTTTTTGTTTTTTCTCCTCCTGGATTTCATGAGAATAAGGCCAAGCCCATAAGTCCAGTTTCTGTGTGATTCTAAATAAATTTCAGGCAAGCTGCAGGTATTTAGTAGCTCTTGTGAGAATTTGGTGTGATCAGATTCCACAACCTAAAGACAACTTAACCACAGAGTTTATCATATGGTTTTAAACAAGAGAAAACCAGTATTTTGGTTTTGGAATGACGGAAAAGAACGACATTGCTTTTAACAGACTTTCATACATGTGTTATTTTCAGAAATTATAGGGGTACAAGACATTAAAAACATACTTAAAAATATTCTGTGCCTCTGTAAAGCCAATTACCTTACTCAAATTCTGTAAAAAAATGAGTATTCTTCATAAAGAAGAATAATAATAGTACCATAACTCTTATTATCATGCTTGTTATTATCAATAGATTCCTATAGATATTAATTTATTTTAATTTGTACTTTTTGCTTTTACAAGTAAATATGGTTGTTTCTTTAATTCATGCATATCTTCTCTAAGGTAGGAATATGTTATCTTCAAGTCACTTACATAGGGGCTTCCCAGAAATAAGCCACAACTAAACTCTATATATGTTGAATCAGAGGGCTCCAGTAAGTATGAAGTCTACTGCTAGGGCTGAAGCCTTCTGGTTTCCTTTTTGCAATTTTGCTAAGGTCATGTTTTCACAGCGTTAAGTGTGTAGATGGAGCATTTGTTTACTCAAAGTTTTCAGTGTACCTTCTGTGTATGAAGAGTGAGGGTGGATCTTGGCACCACTGTGGGGTTTTTTTTCCGTATCTGTTTTGGCCTTTTTTTTTCTTTTAGTTTCTGGGCTCTAGCTCAGAGTTACTAACCACATCTGGCATCTGGAGCAGATAAAGTTCAAGGCAGGATGTCTCAACAACGAGCAAAGATGTCCAAAAATTGAGAGAGTAACTATGTGCAAATTCAAAATCATATACTAGGAATCAAGACTAATCAAATATTGCGTGACTAAATGTAATCCAATGAAGCTAAGATACACATGAATTATTTTATGCTGATTCACTTAGGTCTATGACTAATCAGGCAGAATTGACACAGGTTAATTAACACGGTAGCAAACTCAAAAGAGAATGACAGCTGAAGAAATCAGCAAACTTTGCAAAAATATCAGTAACTGGGAAAACACTTTGCTTAACACTTAATTTATTGCACAAATTCATTGCATAGTTTCCTTCTATTGCTCTGAGAACAAATAATCAGCCTAAACAATCAGAGATGTGTCTATACTAGCCTTTTGCCCTACATCTCTCAACCATTAGCGTTAGTGAGGAGGCAGTCCTCATGGCAGCTGGTCCAGCACCCATAGCTCCTGGCACGCAGATGTCTTGGGAGTCAAAGGCAGAGTCAAAGCTTTCCCAAGCAGATTGCTGAAGTTTTTCATTGTACTGTTCTAGTTCAAATCAAGATACAGAGGGTTTCATGCCAAGATCCACAAAACTATTATAGTGCCAAAAGTGGATCTGTAGATGGTTGCAACTTCTAAACCCAAGACTGTGGTTCTCGAAAGTCCTGCTGAAACATGTAAGGGACTGTATTTTTGGTGGCAAAACTCCTCTAATGCAAAAGATTCCATAAGTTTCAGTGACTGCCATCTTGCTAGGATTGAGACTGGTAGCTATTTGAAACTCAAATGCCATTATTAGTCTGAAAAAATTGGGTTTTTCTGTTAATGTCTTTACCTGTGCAGCTTCACTTTAACTTCAGTCAAAATATAGATCCTTTGACCACTTTTTAAAACTTAAAATAAGAGGTGGTAAAGGTGATATGTCTTCTCTTTTGTAGAATACCTGAACAATTAAAACATTAATATTCATAGAATATGGGGCTAAAGGGGTTCAAGACTTTCTATAAAATGAATGAATGGAAATCCATATCTCCCTAGAAAGTGTCTTACCACAAGGCTGTGAGGCTGTACAGTGAGACTGGTTTTGGTGTGAGGGAATGCTCTTCTTTTGAAACTAGGGCACTTTAAGTAGTCCTCCAGTGGTTGCTGAAGTATGCCTGTGTATTTTAAACTAAGTGATCATTATATGTAGCTGCAGAAACACCCAGGCTTATGTGAGATATTTATGTTATTTGTTTATATGAATACCAACATGATTAATTTAAATTCTAGACAATGTAATTTTTTGCAAATAATCCTGTCTCACCCTGTGGGCTTAAAAAAAATCCTGCAATTATTAACTCCAAATATAAATGGAAAATTCCAGCAGAAAAGTCAATTTATTGTAACTGTGGATTAAATTTTGCATCTAGATAGTGCAAAATTAGTCTTCAAGAAAAAAAAAATAGAGAAGTAAAGCAGAAAGATCTCCCAGTCTGTCGAATTCTTACATGGGATAGTTTCTGGTCATTTAACCTAGTTGTATCAGCAGGAGGTGTCATTTATTTTGACATTAACTAGTTGTGACTAGTTAATCCTTAAAAAGGATTATTTTTGCCAAAAATGAGTTAAATAAATACAGCTGAGTAACAACACACTTCGAGACAGCTGTTCTCTTTGTTTTTCTGGCATCAGCCAGCATTTTTTGGTCACTGAATTCAAATGAATTTTCAATTCTGTGATTATGAAAGGCATATGTAGTCAGAATGAAAGTAAAATAAGAAAAACAGAAGTAAAAAGAGAGAGACTGAAAACGAGAAAAGTAAATAAACAAACAGTATGTGGTAACTACAATTTAGTATACCATAAATGTGAAATACAGATGGAGTATCCTGTGACAGGGAAGTTGCAACTAGACATCTGTTTCTTCCAAATTTCCAAAGAAAAAGAGATTCACAAATTATGACAAAATGTTTAAGAAATTAGACTATACAAACATGTCAGAAAATGTCAAATTCATATTCAAATTTTAGCAACTTAATTTCTGTGTTTATAGACTGTTTTTAGTACAGTCACTGTCAAATAAACAATAGTCAATAATAATACAGATTTGCACCATGATTTTTTTTCCTTTAGAGCTGTCCCAAGAGAAGGTACGTCACAGACTGTCTATGTGTACTAATAAAGAAAGCAAATAGCCCAGCTTTTGAGCAGTGGCTGTTATGGCCATCTTCTGTTCCCTAAGAGTTATTCACAGAAAGCCTCAAAATAGTTATGTCTCAAAGCTAAAGTATTGAACTAAATCTTTGCGGTGCACTGTATTCTGTGAGACATCTATTACCTCATTGTAGTGATAATGGTGGCAAGGATTCTGTTGCTTAAACATTGGCATCCATATAATTTTATTTGCTTTAAGGAGTAGTAGATACTCCTTAAAGCAAATAAAATACCAGTAGATACCACTGGTAGATTTGATGTAGAGCATTCAAGAAATGCAGATTTTCTGGAGCAAGAGTGAAAATGTAACCATGCAGATAACCATGAAACCCAAGTTTGTCCTATGCAACAAGTGGAGGTTTCCTGTATGCAAATTAGCTTCTCTGAGACATAAAAACTGTCATATCCTCGTGATAGTCTTTACAATCCTGAGATCCAAGAATTACTCTGAGGTGACAGAGTATATAGGTGCATGTGTACGTGTGTCATACATATACATGGGTGGAGATAATGAGCTAATGAGTTCATGGTAGCATGAAATGTTTGAGACTACATAAATGATTAATTCTTTACTCATTGTGAAACAATTTTAGATTAAGGCTTGTGCTCTGTCACCTCAGAACAACTCATTCTAAAGGCATCCTAGCCATGGAACAATATAAGGTGATAAATAAAAAATAATTTAAATATTTTTGTGTCATACCAGGATGTTTACAGCCAGCAAGTATGAAATGAATTATTGCTTCAGGATGACTGCAGGAAGATGGTATAATTGTATTTGGAAGATGGAAGATTTAAAAAAAAAAGTTGCCTCTGGCACATGAGAGTCTGTTTTTCATTTCAGTTTCCTTAATGAATTTATTACTAGTGTGTAATTTAGCTGTAGTGACTATATGCTAATAGCTGCTATATAGATTCTTTGCAGCACAAGTACATTCACGTGACTATTCACTTACATGTCTTTAGTAGGATTTTAGCTCCTCAGTTTGTTCCTAAATTAACTTTAGGAACTTTTAACTTTTAACTGTTAACTTTTTTGTATCACCACTGAATAAAGAATAGATTTTGTAATCAGTGAAAGAATACTTTGAAGATCAAATCTCTGAGGTTTTATGAATCTATTTTGCACTTTGCAAATAGTTTTCACTAAAGCTGGTCCAAATTTTTCATGAGTAGAATTTTTTCCACAGTAAATACTGGTAAACCAAAGCCACATAATTTGTACTGGCTTCAGAAAAATTTCCAGTAGCATGCTCAAGCTAATTGAAAAATATGTTGCCTATTTGGTACAATGGTGGTTTTACTGTTTCATTCTGATTTGACTTCAGGAACTTCTCTTGCACATTATTGCATGTGTCTGTTGACTTTGTGAGCACATACTGATGATACACCTGGCTCAGCCTGGAGAGGATGAGACTGAGAGGTGATCTCATCAATGTATGTAAGTATCTGAATGGAGGGTGTCAAGAACCAGTCCCTTCTTGGTGGTGCCAGGCAGCAGGGCAAGAGGCCACAGGCAGGCACTGGAACGTAGCTTTTCACATGAACATGAGGAAGAACTTCTTTGCTGTTTGGGTTACTCAGCACTGGAACAAATTGCCCTGTGAGGTGGAGTCTCTCTGGAGATATTCAAAGTTGTTTGGACACAATTCTGAGTAGCATGCTCTAGAGGATCCTGCTTGAGTAGGGAGGCTCCTGGAGGACATCCAGTGGTCCCTTACCTATTCTGTAACTCTGTGAAACTGCAATAACACTTAAGTCTGCCCCTTGTTGTAGCTGTAAGATTTTCCAATTGAAACTGTGTCTATTTTCAGTGGTGAAGGGAAGGGACTGCCCAGAGGAGCAGGAGAAGCAGTCTGTAAATGATTCTTTAGAAAAACAGATTGATTGCATACATAAGTGTACTGTTTGAATGACGAAAAGATGGATGACGACCTACTAATTTCCCCGGTCCCAAGAAAGAAAGGGAGCTACCTCTGATAATGCAATATTTTTACTTGATCTGGCAATTTCACAATTCCCAAAGCCACAAATTGTGTTTATGGTTCTAGGAACAGCAGTACAGGCTGTCCACAGCATTCCTCTGACCTTTATTTCGGAAGAAGAAACAGAAAGAAGTCCTCTACTTCTGGAACACTGCTAAGTGGAACAGTTAATCTGGAAGTTTTGCAACATGAATCCCAAGAATCAGTGATTGTGAATGACCTAAGCCAAACTCTGACGTAGAGGTACAACCCTTCGCTTTGAGAATGTTAATGTTGTCATCTGTAATGAGCCTAGGATCACCTGAGAAATCTTCTTCAAAGTCTCAAATCTCAAATCTCTTTTCCCAGAGATTGTTAGTTAAGTCTGTAATTGTGATCAACGTTCAATTACAGAAAGAATATTGTTGTGTTTGTTCACAGCACCAGGCTAGATGCATCCCTGATTAGGAGATGAGGTGACATATTACTTGATAGAGGTCATCTCCATTTGTAATTTTTTAAACCCAAAAATAATGAGTGGCCTTTTGATGGCCATGAAGATGTTTTGACTGTGATCTGAAAAGGCTGGGGACATTAGGCATGACAAAACAAATTAAAAACAGTCACAGAAGAAAGTATTCCCCAGAAGCTTACTTCAGGTGAAAAGGAGTCAAGCCCTTTGTCTGCTGGCAATGTCCATATAACATTTAACTGTTGCTTCTCATGATTTCATCAGTTCATTCCAGCAGCATGGCTCAACTTTAGCAAGTCTTTTCAGAGGCAGCAAAAATATCATTGCAAACACCCTGGAGCCATGAACTTCACCAGGTAATGTGTATGGATGCTGACCACAGTTATGTTTTCCTCTAGGGAGTAGCAGAGACATTGTATGCTTTGTTGCTGCTCCTGTCTTCACTGACAGGGTCCTGGTAGTCTTAAAAAGGGCATTTGCCAGGCCCTGTAGTGCCATGAGAAGAGAACTCCTGTACAGAGGTGATGTTGGCAGAGTGCAACTCATCATCTACCTTGTCCACAAGTGTCTGTAGGATGGCCCTGCCTCATGTATCACACAAATAAAAACATACTCTAAGGAGGACATGTCCAGGTGGTGCATTTTCTAACAGGTGAAGAATAAAATGCTCTCAGTGGTATCCATGGAAAAACACAGGACCGTGAGTGAGAAATCCTAAAAGTTTCTGCTGACTTTTTGGAACATGACAATAAAACTTCACAGGCAGAAAAAATGCTCACTTTTAGCATGAAAAAATAGAAGTTCTTAATATGCATGAGCTATTTTCCAGGTGGATGATATTGTTTTAAACCCCAAAATATTATTTGGTCTTCCAGAAAACTGGTATTTCTATGCATTCAGGAGTCAGAACACTGATACATCAATTGTAACTTCTTTTCTTTCATCAGGAAGCAACAATGCAAGGGAAAAAGAGGTCCTGAAAAACCTGACAGACATCACTGAAATCTGTCTGAGTTCAAGACAATGTCCTCATCAGACTGATTCATCCTTTAAATTTGTCCTCAAAACCCTTATTGAACATTTTTGGTTGTGTCTTGAGTAGTATATCCTTCTTCTTAATCCTGAGGATGGAACCATTGGAATGGCCTAAATAGATGTGTTCCTCGAAATCTTTTAACATAATAGTTCTTCTTCTGACTTCGATAAAATCACATATACTACTGTACTCATTGCAGCATACAGTTGTGAGCTGTGAAGTCAAAGTATATTCATGCACAACCCCTTAAATGTGAAAAAGAAAATAACAGCCACAATTCTAAAAATGTTTCAGAGATACTGAATAAACCACTTCTGAATGGTGTAATTAAAAGCAATTCTTCATGCTTACACTATCCTTATACAAATCATATGAATGATATGGTCTCAGAAGATTAGTCGTGTGAAACATTCTTTACAGAATTTAAGCTTTCTTTTAATGCAAATTTAGTCACTACTTTGACAGGACAGCATTAATCTGTTGAGGATTCAGAACTAACATGCAATGTATTCAAATTTAAAAGAGTATAAATACCTGATGCTCTTAGAACAGGCTGAACTGACTTCAGCTTTAGATCTCTAGCTAAATCTACTTACTAAAGCATATTCTCTCAGCTGGAACAAAAGACAGATAACCTTCAAGACCTTGCAGAACTTTACAGAAAATAACAGGAACTAAAGTGTCTAAAATTGAAAACAAAGGTCTTGATGCTTGAGTAAATGTTCATTAAAAATATTTCAAAAAAGCACGTACTGACCCTCTTTGAGGAAGTTAGGAGTGTATTTCTTTGGGGGATGTCTGGAGCCAGAAGATATCTTTTGGATTGAAGGCATACCAGAACACAAGCAAATAGACTGAAAGGTTGCATTTTAAGGAAGTCAGATGCGTTGATGTGGCAGTTCTGAACAAAGTGGCCATTTTGCACAAAAATCCACACTGAATACAGAAGGTGTGGTATGTAAATGAAGATTGTTTCTTTGGTGATGTGAAGAAAATGAAGCAAAGATCTAGGATGTGATCTGTGATACTAAAGTGTAAACTTCTAGTATAAACCCTCAAAAGCATTCATCCTTAAGTGGGGTATATTTTGCCCTTAAATTTGCTTGAATGCACAAGCAAACACAGCCTTGTTTTGAAATCGGTGTTGTTGCGCAAATTCCAGCTGATCGTCTGCAGTTTTAGAAAGAGCTGAAGTCAGTGCCTGAGGCACAGCTCCATAATATGTAATAGCATAATAACTAAGTTCCATAAAGAATCAGATCAAACGGCCAATATATTCCCCAGAGGCAGCAGTGAGCATTTTGATGTAAGAAACAAGGCAGGGAGAATGGTTCTTTCCCTTTTATACACATAATGATCTAAAAAGTAAAGGAAAGCTTAGTTCAGTTCCCCGTTAAAAAGCATTATGTGTTCCCATGCCTCAGACAGTGCTTCCAAGTAAGAGAGTCATTCCTCGGCCATTGGGCAGATCTGGAAGCATCTGTCAAAGTGTCAAAATATGCAGCTGCAGGACATTGCAATGACTAAGATATGGAAAAGCAAAAAAGTTCTCTGTTTTGGCTGCTTAACCAGACAAGAAAAAGAAAAACATATTTTCTATTAAATGGGTGTACTTTGTTGTTTGCAATACTGAAAAGAGCTTGATCCTTATTTCGTTCCACAATTCTTAAGAAAACCCTTCGTTCAAAAGGAATGCTTTCCAGGTTTTGTCAGAAAAGCAAAAAGAGGGAGTGCATTCACAAATCCAGTGAGAGGTCACCTTTTCTTTTGCCAGGAGGTTGGGATAATCAGACACTGAATATAGTCTGGCATTTTCTATGAGGAATTTTTGAGATTTGAAATAATGTCCTTTACCTCCTGAAAGAGCATTCTGACTTCCTGGGTGTGGAATGGCTCCCAACTATTCCTATTACAGTCCATCTTATGGAAAGTGCAGAAAGAAAAGAGTGAGACACTAAAAACTGGAAGAAGAAGAGTAACTGTATTTGGTCATTGGGACATTCACTATAGAAATAGGCCCCTAGATTCTCATTTCACTGAAATACTATTGCTTGCAAGGGTAGGTAGAGAAAACCTTCCACTACTAAAGAAAGTTTATTTAAGAGGCAGGAGATGCAAATAGTCAGCAAGTTTGGAAAATATTTTTTACAACTTTAATATCAAACAGACTTTTCTGCACAAGCTGGTGCTTGCTAGGTATGTGTTCAAATTTTGGGAAGTAAAAATTGTGTTTCTTTTTGCTCTTTCCTTTTTTTCTGAGGTATGAAAGCATGCAGAATTTTTAGTAAGTTCCTTGTATTCAGTACTTAGTTGTTAAACAAAAACCTTACCAAATTTTAAAAAAATTACCAGAAAAAAAGAATCTAACCACTGTGTATTGATTTACAATATTTGTTTATATTTCTCTATACTTGGATGCTGCCAAGTTTGGCTTTTCTCTCCCTCTAAATGCTTATTATTGTATGTGGAAGTATTAAGCTTAATCCTATTGTGGTTAAATGAGAAGGTTTAGCAATTTCATTTCATGCCTTCAACTGTTCTTAGCCATGCATGCATGTCTCTTGCTACTGTTTGATTGGGAGAGATTGGGTTCAGAACATCGTCTATACGGAGATTCAGCAGTTATGAACACATGATTTGGGGGTTGATAACAAAGATATTTGCTGTAAGATTGCATCTTCTTAGTGGTAAGTAGTTGAGGGAGAGAACAATAAAGCATTTTTGATGGTCACGTCATGGGTGTAAATTGCTCAAGGGATGGAGCCATGAAAAAAGGCAAATGAGACTGAAATATTTCCCTCCAGGAGAATTCCAGGGGGGCCAGTGAGCAGGACGATGGTGCTGTGGTCATCAGGAATAGTTAAAACTCCAGTCACAGATATGCAAAAAATTAAACTGAAACGAGTTCATTTTCAGAGAAGACTACAAGGGTGACAGCAGGAAAGGAGAACCCAAGTAATGAAAGATAGTGGAAGGGTGTGATTTATTTAACTTTGCAAAAGGAAGGCTGAGAGGGGCTAAGACTGTTCTCCTCAAGGGTAAACACCATGAGGGAACAGATCTGTTTAAGTTAAAGAACAATGCTGGCACAAGAACAAATACATATAGACTGACCCTGAAAAAAATTATTGGATTGGATGTTAGAAGAATGTCACTAACTTTTTATAAAGTGTTCTTCCAGCAGTCGCAGCCATCCTGCAGGATGACTGGTGTACACCTGCAGGTGAGGCTAAGAGGTTTACATCTCTGTAAACCTGAGAATGCATTGTCCAGAGACTGAAAGTGTGGTGTATTTCTCTAGAAGCACCACTGTTTTTCTCTTTAAATTTGGTTTGCCAAATGACTCTGAAGGTTTTATTAACATGGACTCAGTTGTAAAGGCTCTCTTCCAAGCTCTCTTTCCACCACATTCCCAGATCATGCTCCCATTAATTTCTTAAAATTTAGCTGATAGAAGTTCTGTTTTTCTGTACTGTGATATAATTCAATTCAAGAGCAAGTTACTGACTTAATGCAGCATTTACTTGCTGATCTGCTGTGCTGTGTGTACCTGGTCATAACAAATGATCATAATAGTGCCTTCTAGACTTAAAGCCCATTAATCTGTGGATGACCTGACCATGGGTTCACTGGAAACCAGGGTTTCATTGTTTTTTATAGATAACAAACACATTTTTTAAAAACAGCAATGTATTTTGCCAACAGAGATTTTGAGGTGTCAGCTATAAAATCTGCCATAAGCTTTGTTATGACATTCCAAAGAGAAAGTCAAGGGGCTTTGAAAATTACATAATTTACAATAGATTATTTACTTTTGGCTGTCAGTAATAAAAGATTTAGAGTCTAGCCCAAGTTTTATTGCAGAAGAACATTAGGGGTTATGAACTTAAAGACATCTGTTTTTTTTATGTATTATTAGACTGATATGACATTTGCTGTCATATGTTGTAATATTTGCCTTGCAGGTAAAGCCTCTGTTCCATTATTAGCATTTTACTGAGGAAAAATATATCCAGCTATTGAATACTTTATGTACAATATCTCCACTGTCATACGGAATATAGGAACATATTCCCATAGGAACAAACACCTGGCATAAAAACCTGTAAGGTCTGTTGAGAGGACTACAGTTAGATAAAAGAAAATAAAATTATTTTATAGAAGAAACTAAAAGTCTTTTAATTACTGACTTTTTAAAATTTACATATCACTGAGGTCTTAGTAAAATTTTTTTTGTAACAGAGTTGTGTTGCACTTAAATGATAAAATGAGAAGTATGCTCCTAAAATGTGACAGGAAAGGATATTTGGGTTAGGAAAGAGATCCAATGGAACTTGAGGTAAACAAAGTCTGAAGGGGGACCAACTTGTCCAGAATAACTCCTGTTCCCTTGATTGAACAGTAGGTGAAATACATGGCACATATTTTGGTGCTTGCTATGTTCTATTCTCTAATGTGCTGCTGAATATTGTGTGAACTGGATTCCTGAAAATCAATTTTTGGTATACAGAAGAAAATTTTCAGTGTATGCAGATTGACTAATAGATAATATTTTGTCTGTCTTTTGTCCGTCTGTGTGTGTCCATCCTTAAAAAGACTTAGCAGCAATAAGAAAGTGTAAGAAGAATATTGAATATTTGCAGTTATGTTGCAATATGTGGCCAGACCTCAGGTAACAACTCTGAGGGATTGTATGTGACCTGGCAGTGATTTTTGGATACAAGAGCTCAAAGAAAATAAGGGAGACTTAAAGTCATATTAACCTGAGCTTCTCTTGCATGTGCCATTATGCTTCCTCACATGGGAAGTGACAATATTTATAGGAGAGCTAAATGATAGAATTTCAGCTGAAAGGCATCAGGACTGAATTCTTGCATGCAGATATTTCTCTGGGACATGTTTATTATAGGTTGAAAATAGTCTTTGGTTAACTCAATAAAAAGTAGGCTTCCACTTTAAAGTCCGTCCCAAGTATCCTGGTTCATAAGATAACTTATTGCTGGGGGTCATGCTGAAAGGTGTTTACTGGCAGAGGTGAATACAAAACAAATATAGAACAAGTGTGCTAATAAGGGAAATATCAGAGACACAAACTTTTAATAGCTTCCTGTTCTCCCTGAGATCTGGAAGAACAAGCTGTACCTCCAGCACCTGCCCTATGCTCTGTGTATCATCTCAGCAAACATGCTGTCTACTAAGCCCTGACACAGAGAAAAAAGCCTTCTTTGAGCCTGTGACAACATTTAAAGAGCTGCTTATTAGCTCCCTATTTCAAGCAAACATTTAAAAGGTAGATTGGTGCA